AGAATATCAACAAAAAAAAAACAAAAATGTGGATCGATAGAACTTTTTGTGGTGATTTTAACCCTACCAACAAAACCAACAACCACATGATCAAGTGAATTGCAGCGGAATAGCTGCGCTTGATTGTAGTTGGCTTAGCAAAGTGAAATATGTAGTGGAAATAAGCAACAAGAATTAACAAGGCAAACTTAGCACAGTGCGTAGGCAACTGGCTGAGTCAGTGGTGATCGTCGGTTCGAATCCTACTGAAAGAAGTCTGATGAGGAAATAGCTATCACTTCTACCATTTTTTCAAATTATTGTTGCTTTTCCACAATAAGTTTTCACTAAAAACAGCCTCAAGCTCATAAAAATTGTTGAATATTATCTGGCAAAAGTAAAATATAAAGAAGATATCAATGGTTAAAGTTCAATTTTCTGATTTTTTTTAAATATTAATATCTTCTGAACAACATAACCTATGTAAAAAACTAATGACGTCAAAATAAAGGTAATTAATTTGTCTTTCATATATGTGTATATTTTTTATATGCTTTTTTATATTTTTAGTCCGGAAATACTAAAAAACAAAATAAAATAAAAATATATTTTTTTAAATGGCGTTTATATAAAATTAGTTTTAAAACTGGTTATAGTATTTACGTCGCATAAAAGGCATTCAAATTATGTTGAAATAAGCATCAATAATTTTTTGATCGGTTAAATTTTTTCTGAGATATTAAACACATAAGAAATAGATTTAGAGTAACACTTTTTCTTAATATTATTATCTCATGTCACACATATGATAGAGAATCGAATATTGCTTACAATAGCTTATTTCGGTAGCTTATTTTCTAGGCTTTCCAACTATATATAATTTATATTGGGTGTGGCAAAAGGATTACACGTTTTTCTTCATGGAACGCACTCGGGTCCGCCTTGCATTTTTGTCGGCAATAACACAAGTTTATAGAAATGAAAAAATGCTCTGACCCGCGACATTTTTGTAAGGAGATAAGAAATTTAGGAGCTATACATTGATTTATCGACAAGTTTGCATAACTTTAACAAAAGTTTGAAAAAAAAATTTCTTTCACTACACACATGTGAATAGCTCCTGTATAGCTCCCAAATTGCTTTTCCAATTGAATAGTCTTGGTAACACATAGGATACAAAATTTGGAAGCCTTTACTAATACAAAAAGAAATTAAGATTGGCCAATTAAGTCCAAAGGAAATTGCAATCAAGTGAGTGCACTGTCCGAAATTTGGTCATATCTCAAAGACTTTTCATTCTAATTTCGTATTCGGATTCAGCGGAAAATTCTGAGTGCATTTTTTTCTGATCCCAAAAACGCGAAATTTGGCTAAATCTCAAAAACTGTTATACCTTCGTCTGTTCTGATTTCGTATTCCGATTCAACGGAAAATTCTTCATAGCAACTCAGACAAAAATATTGCGGTTGGCCAACTGCGTCCTAAGAAAATTATAATAAAGTGGGTTAACTAACTTTCTTCAGATGTCAAAAATCCGAAATTAGGTTATATCTCAAAAACTGTTCTACTCTCTTACATTTTAATTTCTTATTCGCATTCAGCGGGAAACTATACATTAGGACGCATATAAAAATGTCGCTGTTCAGACACAATTTTTTAATTTCTGTAAACTTGCGTTATTGCCGACAAAAATTCAAGGCGGACCCGGGTGCGTTCGTACCGATTTTGGCGGACGATTTTGAGAAAATTGTCCCGCTGAATATTTTTTTTTTAATGGAGAGGTATGTGTTCCGGTTTTACATATTTGTACCGAATAAGTCCCTTGTTTTTCAGTGTTCTATTTATTAATTTCATAAGAGTCTCCCTGTACTCTGGCCCAAAAACCATTTTTCGTACAAACGTGGCAGTATTTACGTTATCACAAAGGACATGGGATATAAGAAAGCCATAAACATAGCCAACATCCTTGTTTTCTATGATCTTTAGTTATGTTTTATTCTGTCTACCTAGTGCTCTCGCTATAATGTGTAATTTTTTTTAAGGTCTTTATAATTGTTTGTTAATTTTTTTTTAATGAATTTAGTAAAATTATAAAAAAATCGAAAAAAAAATCATGGATATAAAAAATATAAGCTGTAGATACAGTGACGGAAATATAAATAGGTAAGAGACATTTTAGCATTCGATTATTTAATGTTTAGTATTAATGATAATTATTTTTTACGAAAGGATAGCTCGTTATCTAACAAATACGTGGTCTTTCAAACTTTGTACAAAGGTGAACAAAATTCGACAAAAATGTATCAATATTTTGAGCTTTTTAATTAGATTTCTTAGAAACATTATGAGTACCGTTTATTATTAGTAAATTTTTTGTGGAAAGGGTTGCTAAATTTTAATTTAGCCTTTTATATATTTTTTGTATTCTTGCGCAAAATAATTTTGATAAAGCTGAAATCAACGTGAGAAGTTCTATCGAGCCACGTTTTCGGTTTTGCATATCCCAAAACGTTGGCTGTGGACAATATTATTATTTTTTTTTTTAACGTCTGGCAACACGTTTTTACTGGCACGTCAGATATCAGCTGATAATGGTTAAGGCGGAAAACCGAAATTTAATTAGTCTCTATGGCTATGGTTTTGGTGGGCGTGGAAGTGATCCGACTTTGTCCATCTTTCCAATTTTAGTTTACCTCGTTCAGACAAACAATACAAATGGGATCTTGCACTATGCGCCGCCGCCCCAACCACCACACTAGATCGTTGCTCCGTCTCGCCAGTCTCCGAAACCCCAGCGCCGTCTTCGAAAGAGATAACGTTCCAAAGCTGGACGAGGCCTAATTGACGGCCGGGGATTTACCAGAGGGAGTTTCGTTGCCACCTGCAAGCCCAACCACAGCCGCAGAGCTCGTCAAGGAATTTCCGGTGTTATTCTTTTTCTTCCTCCACTTCAGCCAATTGCCCTTGTCACCCTGTCAGGCTGCCGGCTTACGAACATTTTTAACAATTAAATTCTGATAACTATGAATAATTTTAAACTACCGAAAAGTTTTCGAGTGCGAGTTAAAGGCCGCTTCAGTTTTTTTTTTGTTTTTTGTTTATTATTTAAAGAGCGGAAATACAAAATAAGGTTTTTGAGCTCATGTGTTATCCCATAAGCTTCAAAATGTTGCGTAGAATACTTAAAAGCGGCAGGTGCCACCAAAACTGTCGATTTGCTAATCGGTTTGAGACTAATTCGCATAGTTTGCATGCCAGTCTATGCACTAAGTAAAGACACAACCAAAACTTAGCTAACCACCGTGTGGCGGCGCTAAAAGCAATTAAGGAAGCGAAAGCAGAGAGTGTTAATTTAATGAGAAGACGCAAATGTTAATTAGCATTTTTTCAAACACCAATTTGAAATTTTAACTATTAGTGAAATGAAGTGAGAAGTTTGTGGCAAATTTACAAAAATTAGCTTCCGAAGGTGATGCATATTTGCAAATTTACGCGGCCAGGTAATGGGCGCTGTGGTGCATGCAAAAAACACGCGGTTTGTTTTTTCTTCCAACTTTTTGCGCTGATTCATAAACCAGTGGAAAGTGTTGGATTTTTTTAGTTGTTACATTTTATTTTATATTTTTTCTTGTTTATTAAAACACTAGCTTATACCCGCGGGTTTCACCCCGCGCTTTTATACTAATATGAAAAATAATTTAATGATGTTAGATTTTATTGCTGTGCCCATTTCGTTATAGCTCGTTATTTTTTAAGCCAGTTAAGGTATTTAGGCCGTTTAATCTATGAAATTATAAAATCTCGTCTGCGCGCTAGATACACGAAACATGTCAATCCCTCTTAATTTACCTTAAAATGGTTCCAGGCATACGACGCGTGAACGTGTAACCTTCTTGGAGGTGCCACGGAGAGTTCTAATATTTCCAAATCAAATTTAGTAGCTTGGCCTTAATAAAATACTACTTCTCATTACTGTAGCAAATGCCTCAAGAGAGCTTTACATTATAAGGCCGAACCAGGCTCTCCCTTTTCCATTTAATTTATTCTGTCAGTACGGCACTTATAAAATAAATCTCCATAACAAATTTAAAATACTTCGAGAGATTTTCTATCCTTCCAGAGATATGCATTAAGCAGTTTTTAGTATGTATGGGAGGCGACATGCCTCCTTTTTTAATAACTCACATTTTTTCCATGAGCAATTGATACATTTTGCATACATAACTCCATACCAAGTTCTTTTTCTAAAAAGAAATATTTTTTAAATGCTACGCATAAGGGTTTTAGACACTGGAGCAGTTGGATCATTTTTTATTTGAAAACTGATGACGCCATTTCAGTCAAAGGTGAGCGCTTCAGAGGCATGATTAACGATTTTTTGTGGCCGGAAATTGAAGACATGGACTTGGAGGATCTTTGGTAATCGCGATGTCAAATGACCACCTCGGAGCTGAGCCATTCATTTGTGATATAGAGCCAGAAACAGTTACCAAGGTCTCTGGAAAACTAGGATAACAGGATGCGCTGCTGTGAAACAAGCCACATGAATTAAATATTGGAAATGCTTGCTCTTTCAAATAAACTAATAATGTAGTTTTTAAAAAGAAGCCACCTTATGGACCACCCTTTAAAAACTATTTATGTACATATATACCGCAGTAGAATATTATCCAAGCATTGTATTGGTAGGTTTTGGAAGAACGTCTTAAGGTATTCGCAATTTATTTTATTATTACCTTATTAAAATCAATTGACATACAAAATTACAAGCGATAATCGTAATTTAACGTTGCAATTACAAAAGTGATTACTGTGACTATCAAAGAAATTATGATCTACATGTACATATGTATGTATATGTTTCTACATAATATGTATAGAATACTTAATTTTCTCCAATTTAATAATTTTGTGGGCATGTAATGAATAAATTAGCAAATTTTCCGTTATTTGGTTCGTTTTTACTTACAAAGTAATTTTCCATATGTATACATATATAGTAGTTATATCTTAGTTACACATTTTTTAGTTCTTATACAATTACATATATATAACACTTTCGACTACAGCACTAGCCATGATGCATTCGTTTTTTCTTACTATATTTAAACTTAAAGCTAATCAATGGAACATTTGCAAACTTTTTGCAATACAAAAAAAAAATATCTAAATCTAAATCAAGGCGTATTTAACAAGGCGGAATTAGCCGTATATAAGTAAAAAATTACACTAACAAATTATGCGCAGATATCCATATTGTCATTGGTATGAGTTACAACAAACACATCATTTTAACGCAATGCCCTCGACGGCGAAAAACTCAGCTGTCGCCTCAACACCACCTTGATCTAAATATTTTTATTACTTTCGATTTCTTTCACCTTAGCGATATTGGAAGTTGTGCTATCTTCGGCATCCGAATCTGTTTCCGATTCGGATGGAACCTCTTCAATACGATCCGGAAGCTTATGAGTGCTTGTCTCGGGTAGAGTGAGCGTCAGCAGACCAGCCACAATAACGCAGCAACCGCAAATGGTTGTTGGAATGTACCAGCCGATCATGCCCTATGTAGGAATTATAAAATAATTTCAATATTTTTTTATTTTCACAACTCCAACTTCATGACTTACCAGCACATCCACGACATAAGGCGCTGAAATTGAGCCCACATGTGCCCATGTTGAGCATGTGCCCAATGCCGAATTCCGTATTTCGGTGGGATACAGTTCGGCGGTATAGAGTGTGACAATGGAATATGTGGCGCTAATGCCGAAACGACCCAACATTGCAAATGAAATTATCCAAGCGGTTTGATCTATAGTGAAAAAAAGAAGTGTTAAATGTACATTAGGGCGGATCATTTTATTTTTTTACTTTGGGCGGATTCTTCGTGTAATTCTAAGCAAATTTGCCGAAGAAATCAAAGGGTCTAAAATCAATTTGGAGTTTAGCAAATTGCGAAAATAGGTTTCGAAAAAAATCTGAACCTTTTCGAAAAAATCTCCCATACAAATTGACCCGCACTAATGTACAAATGTATTTTCATAGTGTCTAGAAAACGTATTGTCTACCTGCGGGCACTGCTAGCACCATTAGTAACGCCACTCCGGTTAAAATAAATAGCGACACTGTAGTTGGACGTCGTCCTGTGTAGCGTAACATTATGACTGGCACCAAATATGATGGCAGGTCGACCATGCCGGTAATGGCTACATAAAGATATCGGCTTACCGATAAATTGGCGGCATTAAGCGCTGAAAATATCAATTAATTTATATGTAGATGAGTGAAAAAAATACGTTAAGGATGTGGGGGGAGCACAAAAACTTACCCGTTACATAGTAACTGAGTGACGTAACACAGAACATAAAATACGAGGTAAAGATGAGACGGCGCACTTTCCAAGTGCCAAACAGTTCATTGAATTGTTTGAGGGGACCTTCTTTCAGCTTGGTCCAAAGTGAAAGTTCCGGTTCAGGCAGCGCTTCCTGGATTAAGAGATAAATGCTAATTTAAAGGCTGATTTAAGTAACAATTGTTTTCTAATTTTGGCTTACTAATAATAATTAAAATGTGTGTCCTGATATTACAGAAATTGAGGTATGAGAAGCTTTTTCAAAATACACTCGGTGGTTTGGCTGACTAAGGTGGACCCCGCTGTTAAAAAAAAAAACCTTTCCTAATTTAGATCCAGGAATGGAACCCAGGCCCTACGAAGTTGTAGCACGGAGAACGCACTTCTAATCACTCAGTGCCAGTGACATTGGCCTACTTTCTATGATTATTAAGCCTCATTTTGATAAATCCTCATATATAGTATATTAGATAAGGTTAAAGTGGCTGGCCCGGACAGGACGCATTTGGACAATTAGGAGATTGCCCTTTGTAATACACGAAAAAACTTAACGGATGTCATTGGTTCAGTGGACGAAACGCCGCGAGCCGATTACGAAATTTCGAATGCTTGAGAGCTCACCAGGGTCAGTCAGAAAGTGCCTGCCAAAATGTTGCCACCTCATTATCCTCTTGACAGTATGACTCTTGACCAATAGCGAGAGCTTAGGTTTATCAAGCATAAGGAGCTCCTTTGACCGCGCCCGGTCCACTGCAGGCCACAAGTATTTTGCAACCCGGTGATAGCATTTCAAGGCCAACCAACGCAGTTTACCGCAATAGCACTGCGGCCCAGCACTGAAGTGAGCCTGCTGGATTGATAGAGGGGCCAGACATTCCTTCACCGCCGGCTGGCTTTCGGAGCACACGCTAACCTCCCTATATTATGTCCCACACTCTTCAGTAGTGCGTCTATAGCTTCCTTGATTACAGATATTTCCGCCTCAAAGACACTACCGAAATTCGAAAGCCTGAACAGAGTGTTGATGGAGGGCTCCCAGCATAATACCCCTGAACCAACCCTACCTTAAAATTTTGATCTATATGTGAAGAAGCTCACTGCTCACTTCTTTCAGTAACCCGGCTCCGCCTATTCCTTCCTTGAAGATAGAGAAGGAGCTGCTGGGAGCCATTTCGGAGGAGTTCGACATGATGAAAATAAGTTGCCTTTATTCCGCAATATCTGAATTTGGTATTCCCGCGAAACGTGTATGGCACAATGACCAACACTATCTGCTTCACAGGATCAGCAAATACCTCTAGTTTCATCCGATGTTTCTAATTGGCACCAGCCAGAAGGAACGATTTTCGTGCTTTGTTTATTTTAAAAATTGTCCGGTAATTTGTTTGACCCCAAAATTTGTCGCCACCATAAAATCAGTTACCAGAATAATAAGGAATATGCTTTCACTTCCATTGATGTATAGAAAATGAAAATTTGTTAAGATATTCATATGACTGGCTGGTTTTTAAATGAAATGTGAGGCACCCTAATGTGCACACATTGTGTATGTATAGTAAATATGTATGTATAAATATATAATGTCTAACATGGTCCTGAAATAGTCGCAAACTATGCCGAAATGGTCCTGAACTATTTCCGAAATGAACCCGAACTAGTTTTTAATTAGCTTATTAGTCCTTAAAATGGTTACGCGCTAGTCCCAAAATGGTCTTAAAATAGGACTAAACCAGGCACGAAATGGTCCTGAACTAGGCTCAAAATGATTCCGAACTTTTTGCGCTATGTTTACGAAATAGTCTTGAACTAGTCTCGAAATTCTGCAGGACTACTCATAAAATGATCCTTTAATAGTCCCGAAATGGCACTGAACAGGTTCCGAAGCGTTCCCAAAATGATCGCGAACTAGTCCAGAAATGATCCTGAAATAGTCTTGAATGGGCCCTAAAACGATCTCGAATTGTTACCGAAATGGTCCTAAACTAGAAGTGAACTAGCCCCGTAATGGTCCTGGCCTAGACCAGAAATATACACACAAGAAACAGTTACAGGTTTTCGGCTGGGTTAACCCAAAAAAAAAAATATCAACAATTTTTTGAAATTGCTTTGCAGAAATACTTTACACAGGGGTGTATGGCGAACTTTTTTTTGTTTGCTGTAGAACCGATTGTACATACTAATGTATGTATGTACATTAGGCTGCCTCACTCCCCATACAAAAAAAAAACGGTACTTGTTTCCATTGAAATTATAAAATCTATAATATTCTAAGACTTCTACCCAAAATAATTCGGAAAAATATGTATTAAGATTTACGTGAGCTGGACCCATTTGAAAATACCTCCAAAAATGGAGTCTTTTATGAAAAAAAAAAATAGTTTTTTAAAGTTCTTTAAAGGTGCAGGCTTAAAAAATCTGCATAAAAATATTAAACAAATTTTTCCAACGGAATCAAAATAATGCAACTTTTTATGGTGATGCAGTATAATGTACCAAGATATATGTACATCTGGATTATGTTTTTTTTTTTCAGCCACCAAGTGACATCAGGGTATTGTGTATTTGTTGAGTGTTTTAAGAATTATCGTTTCCTGCTCCTAAATACATAATATGTACATATGTAGTATTGTACTTATGTATTGTACATACATAATCAACCTTATTCATGAGAACTTACAGCTTCCTTATCGGTGATAGCCTCAATGGATTCTTTCTTCACTTCATAATGGCACTTTTGCTTGAATAATATTCTGTAGGCTTGATCGTAGCGTTTCTTCGTTATAAGCCAACGTGGCGATTCATTCATTAGGCTGAACACAGCGTGCCAAATGCAAAGCAACAACGAAACAACACAACGACAGTGGGACGCAGCAGCAGCATTTCCAGCAATCACGGTCAACAAACAAAGGCATTAATGATATTAAAAGAAAAATAAAAGAAATATTAAATTTTGGCAATTTGCAAAAATCAAAATCGTAATGGAGTCAATGAATGAAATTTTAACAATAGAATATTAAAAAAAAAATAACAAAACAAATCGGATTTACCAGTCAATGAATGAAATGTTAACAATAAAATACATATTAAAAAAAAAATAACAAAGAAAGTCGGACTTACCAGCAATTAAGAATCAACAACAGCGCTGGAACTGTGAGCGTAAGCTGAAGATAGCGCCATTGTGGCACAAGATATGCAGCGACGGCTAATAAGATCATGCCAATCGGATAAGAGGCCGAAAAAGCGATTGACATCCAGGAACGATGACGCAGGCAGATATTTTCCACAACTAAAAGGTAATCAATTTCATGTGTAATGCAGTTACTTGTATAAGAGTTATTATAAGCAATTGTTATTTACTCATTGTGAAAGCAGGATAAAAAAGGCCCGATGACGCAGCACCCAAACCGAAACGGCCGGCTAAGAAGAGTTCATACCAAGGCGAGAATGTGCATAAAAGGCTGGCGACTATAAAAAAGGCAGCGCCCAATGTGAAGGAAGCCTTGCGCCCAAATCTTTAAAGCAATGCAATAATAGTGATTTTATTGTAGCATAACTTCATACATAATTACTAAATATGTACATATGTATATACTTACTTATCCGCTAAAACGCCGAAAGAGAAGGAACCAAAAAATTTTCCTAAAGAAAGTGCCACCTGTGCTGAGGTGCGTTGTATGGCACGATCGCACACCAAATCCCATTCGGCCACGAATGTGGTCTCGGCATCTGAATAAGCGTAGACGCCGTGCGAGGTGCAACGTATTTCCGCTGGCAAAGCGAGCGCTGCATTGTTGGACGTGTAGTTGAGTGCATCTTCGTAGGACAGTGTACTCAGTTTCGCGTAATCATAATTCCATATCGTACAACCGCCTGTGTTGAGATTTTTTTGTGATATATTACGTTGTTGCTCAACCGTCCAATTTGTGGATTGAAGATCAGCGACCGCGCACCACTGATCGTCCGGCAAGTGCCCCAGCAGTGTGTATGAGGCGACATGAAAGCCATTGAGAATATTTGGTGTTACGCAGAGAAAGAATAGTGACCTGTAAGCGAGTAAAATATAAAAAAAATGTTTAGAAATGAAGACTTAATATACAATACACACTTATTTATAAATGAGTGAAATGAAAAAATGGAATTATTAAAGAGAAAGTAAAAACTTCTTAGGAAGGCTATAAAATGAAATATTTAATAGGCTCGCGGAATTTTGATCCATTCATGCTATCACTAAACTAAAAAAAAAAATGTGTCAATATACGTACCTGGATTTAAGTACTAATTATAAGTATGTATGTAGATATTTAGTGTATGCAGTTTTCCACGTGAATTATAAAATTTATAATATCTTAAAGCTCCTGCCAAAATTGTTCGGAAAAATATTAAGATTTACGTGAGTTTGTTATAAATAAAATTATTATTTTTTAATATTTTTTCTAAAAAATCCTCTCAGATGATAGAACAGCTTAAGCTTAAAAGGTGAGCATAAAAATATTTACAAATTTTATCAACGCAGTCAAAAAAATTTAGTTTTTGGAAGTATTTTCAAATACATATGTACATAGTATGTAGTAGTAAATTTGTTCAAAATATTTGGCGAAAATCTTAAGATATAATAAATTTTATAATTCCAGTGGAAATCCGCAATTTTTTTTTTTTTGTGATGCACCCTAATGTGCACGCATTGTTTTCTCATAAAAATCCATTTCAACGAAATTCTGACTATGAAATCTCATTGCACTTATGTATATCACACGAAGTACCAATAGAAATTAATTAGCTTTACGCTAATTACGTTTACGCTTTTAGCGATTATCTTCTATTAACATTGTCTGGGACTTTTATTAGTTAAACGGTTGTTTATTTCCTGTTACAATTTCTTTGTACTTTTCACGAACATTTCAAGTGCAAATTAGTTAAAATATTTTTATTTTTTAGCGCAAATCTTGGCGTTTTGAGCGTTAGAGCCGAATACTGATATGACTGTCAGAGTATGTACCTTCAATACCGCTTCTGGATGCTTCGTGTCGGCATAATTTGAATCTACGTACTCAAGATCATAAAAGTAGCTCACAAATTAAAGAAAGTTCAATCGAAGTTTTGGATTTAATTCGAAATTCGATACCACAATACAAATTTCCAAAGAATCTTACAAATATAACCTACTCGGGTAGAAGAAAATGCTAGAAACATGTCGAATTTTATGCCGATGTCGGTATTATCGAGTACTAATCGCCAATATAATGTAAGCAAAATTTTTTTTCAAAATTTTGTGTGCATTTCTGCTTCAAAAGGAAAATTCTGAAAAAAAAATCGCTTCGATTATTTTCGCGGTTAAGGTACGATATAAAAAACAATATTCGGTTGAGCCCTGCTGAGCACCCTCTAACTTCCGTTAGGCATGTCCGCATATTGACCCTATACGATGCCCAGGCTACTTGGCTTTCTGAAGTAAACGATATAAACCTTTGGATTAAGAATCTCCTCGGTTGCACCGGCTACCTTTATTAAAGCTCCTGCCATGGCAGTATTGTTGGCTGTATTTTCTGTAACAAATACTCAAGCATTACATCCCTACATCCAACAGCCATCTGGTTTAAAATAGCGCTTCACAAATCGCTTTCGTTTGTCCCCAACTTTCTCGAGTTTGAGACCACTTGGATTGCACAGCATCAGTATTTTTGCGAAATTCCAATCGTCGTAACATGAGCGAAGATGGCTTTTGTTATTGGTGCAGTTGGTCTTGAGAGTGACCTGATTTTCCGAAGGTATTTAAATTTACTGAGCGATTCCTCTTTTCACCACCACGCTTAACGACACGTGTGTTCTAACTTGCCTCTAGCCATTTGTAGCAGGAATATTTGAATTTGTGCTATCAAGATTTGATTTAATTTGGCTGCTTGAATTTTTAACCATTTCAACCACCGCCATTTATTCATCGAGTGCTTCTTTAAGGCCGCTGACTGCTGCCCACTAATAGCTGCAGCAGAGATGTTTTGTTTTTTTGTTTTGGTTTTTTAATTCAAGTATTTTCCATAAAAATTCTACGAAAAATGTAGAAAAAAGAGACCGGTACTTCGGAATGGCATTCTTAAAACGTGTGAAGAGTTTTCATTTGTTTATTCTAAGGATACCAAAGTAGATTAAAGATTTTCTGGCGTTATTCTCCTCGGGACCCGAGTTTTCAGGGGCCCGGATTTTTCCGAAAATTAGGTTGAAAGGTAAAAATGTTTTGATATGTTAATACAATTTTTTAAAAAATGTGTGATTAGTACCGGACCCAGATTTTCTCTCGGCGGCTCTGTGCCTACCAATTATTTCATACCAAAGACCTCAACAAACAACAAATCCCACACGATATTCCCAAGCCACAGTGATTGGATTCGACGAGATATTTAGTGCTTGAAGTCCATAGCTGTTTTTATATGTATATGGATCAAATATCAAAACGTTTTCCAGGCAGAAACGTTTGCAATTAAGGAAATATGCGAAATCGCAGATGAACATTTGCTCAGATAGATTGGCGACCGAAATTCACTAACCGAAAGCTACGCAGATATAGAGCTGTACAGGATCGTGTAGGATAACCAGACAGATGTAGATTACCTACGAGCCACTTCAAACTGGGGTGATATTAGGAAAGTTCAAGGAAAATACAAACAGGTTCACAGCTGTCCTGTCTTCAGAGGACTCGGACCGGTGGCTGTGCATGTCGAGCTACAAGGACCCAAACTCTAAAGAAGCAATAACATCTCTGCGAGTGTCTGCTCCCTACAAGTGTCAGGCTATAGACACTGATAATTATTCATTCAGAATACATATTACAGAGTGCAGCCATTCTTCGAATACGTAACAATACAAAAGTTTTCTTAAAGAAATTTGGAAATAATATCGTCGAAGGGGGAAAAATATAGGAAATTATGGAAGTTTCAGATTTATTTCACTTATGTCGCACATTTCCCGTTGTATTCTTAATAAATTTATTATATCTATCTAAAAACTCCAAAGGTCTCACTTTGCCTTCCTTTTTCTGTGACACAATTCTCATTCATAGGTAATTGTAACAAGAGACCTTATTCCAATTATCAAATTATCTCATTAAGAAACCACATATCTAAAAAATTAAGCCGATTTATTTTTGCTACGATGCAGAGTACCGCATCACTATGCTAAAGTAGCTGTGCATGTACTTATGTACGTATGTATATACATATGTATGTATATATAAAATTACATTGTACATTTAGTTATGCCCTGCGTCCTACTAAGTTAAAATATATGTAAATCAAACAGTTCAACCTTGACGTGAAATGAAAGCTAATCAGCGCTGATTGAATCAGTATTCTAATATTTAAAACGCAGATAAACACAGTCAATTCCAAAACTGGAAATTCAGTTCTAACCAGAGGTTATCTGGCTAAGCCTAACTTTAAGATTAATTAATCCAGTGTGCATGCAATAAAAAAGTAAGTCTTAGTATTGAGGGCGAAGATCAAGTACATACACCCGCATTTCATCAATTGCGATGGTTGGTTATTGCCCGCCCAATCAATCATTTGCATACCTCAACTTTTACATTACGAGTTTCTTAAATCACATGCATATATAATACATAAATATGTACACATGTACGCATACTGTATTTTGAGAATAACACACAATATTTACATACATATGTATGCAATGAAAAGTCTCCATCCATATACATACACACATGCATATATACATATGTAAATAAGAATACAAAGTATTCTTAAATACAAAGTATACATTGTAGCTACTATTTTATGCGTAAACGAATTATTTATTATTCACCGCCAGTAACGAATATCCATGTGACTGGAATGCAAATTGAAGCGGAAAGGTGTACATACATTAGACCGTACCACTTTAGATGGAAACAAAAAAAGTTAGTCGAACATCTGAATATAAAGTATTTTTGAAAGACAAATTCGCCTTTTTACATTATTCGGTGGCACCGTCATTCGGCAATACATTTTTTTTTTTTTAAACAGTCCTACCAAGGCACATGGAACAGGTGGTATCAGTAGAGCAGCTGATTGGATTTTTTCAAATTATTTGTTCTCGAATAGGTCGAAAATTTTTTTTTTACTCTCACCCAAATTCTAAATTGTTCAAATCTATTTGCATATGAAACCGTTGTTCATACAAAACAAGCGATTGAATAGCAGCTTTTGGTACGTTCGCCCAACTCAGCAGCACAACCGCTGATTACTGGGTCTTGCAATGGATGGGTCAGCGCTTCGAGAAGCAAACAAATTTACCAAGAATGAAATTTGCAATAGTTTTTATATTTTTCAATTTAAATCTTTGATTCTTATTTTTTGTTTTGTTTTGTATTTCACATGGGAGGCTTGTATTTAGAAGAAAAAAATCAGAACAGTTTTTGACACTTTCGATACTAGAAGCAACAAAAAAATACACGCAAATGTTGTTTTTTCTCTAATTGAGCCTTGAGTTCTACTGGAATAATCGAAATTCTTTCTTAATAAAAGTTTAATGACTTTCGGCGAGATTAAATTTACTGGTATTAGGGTGATACTTTAGCTGTTAGTTAGGTGATAAGAACTGGAGGGCTGCGTGAATGGTTTTACTTTTACTGTACAGTATTGCACACTTCAGTAAATGCAGTGAGGTTGTTCACGCTTGCCTGGTTATCAGCTTATGTGGTTATAGTTTTTATTCAGTTCGCAACAATAAAATACACTACACAATAATAATTTTTAGCCAGATATCCTGATAAACCCAACCTCAGTAATGAAGCAAATGCACTTGACAATAAATGAAGTGAAAGTGAAGTAAGCGGCTTGGTCGCAGTCAAAACAAATATATACTGTAGTGTCGCTGCTGACGATCGTTACTGCAATGACAGTATTTGTTTGCCTACTGCAAATAGTGGTTTACACTAGAGATGGGCACGGGCCTAAATTTTTAGGCCCGGCCCGGCACGAATGCAAAATCAACTTTCAAAAACACGCACGAGCCCGCACGTTAAGAATTTTAGTGGGGCCCGGCCCGGCACGAT